GTCTCGCGTGGCAATTTATCCGAGTAGTCTCTTTATTTTCTAGCAAACTACCGCCGCCTAGTTTGTAAATTATTTTCGACAATGACGTACGCGTGTGCGGAAAAAAAGCACCGGTTTCCCATTCGTTTAATGAACTGAAAAAGAAGGGATAGTATTCTGTTACTTACTAGGATGATCCGGCTCGGTGTTGTTCGCATCTTCCTGAGTAAACGTAGTTTTCTTCGACTGTGCGTTGGTAAAAGTCGATAGCTCGATGCACATCACTGCGATCAATATCCACAGCATACTGACGAACGTCTCTTGACAATTTCACCCACGAACCATCCTAACGAAGTTTACGTCTTGTGTCTCCGAGCGGAACGCTCGCCTGGATCCCAGACGCTCTTGTCTAGAAAGGAAATATGTACGTTGATTTTCCGCGACGCTCGTCGGTCAATTCTTTCGAGCTCGCTTTTATACTTTCGATCGAGGACGGGGACGAATAAGAAGGTGGTTATCGACGTTACGATAAACTCGAATTATTGCGAACGGGGAGAGAAAGAAGAGAAAAAAGTCGAATTGCTGCTCATCTTTCACGTTGGAAGATTTAATCGAACATTTATCTTCTCTAGCCGACTTCTTACCGATCCCTATCTAATCTAACGTCGTGTTTCTGTTTTTGCTTGTCAGACGTGAATACCCTCCCTTGCTTGCGCTGTTTTCCAACGATCGAGAAGAGTCCGTAAGCGAACGGAGCCTGTTTAAATAATTTTATCCGCGCTTCCTCCAGGCAATGGAATCGCATTTAAAGATAATACCGGGCAATAAGCGTTCATCCTGCTTTTTCTCCCGGGGCGAATAAATTCTTTCTCCCCCTTCTAGTAGGTTGCTTACCGAACAATGAGAATTACGCTCGCCGCGATTCTTTTCTCGTACAAGAAAAAAGGAGAGAGAGAGAGACACCAAAATCGATACTTTGAAAAGATTGCTTTTACCGCGATAGCTCGCCGCAGGAACGATCGTATAAAGAGGGCCACGCGGAGGGTAATATCGAGGTACGAGCTGCGGACGCTTTGAGCGACGCCCACCCTAAGCGATCGAGATTTAAAGCTACGTAAACATACCATCGCGAGCAAATAGATCGTAAACCGTTGGAGGATTCGCGAAACGCTCCAGTTTATGATTTATCAAGCCAACTTTTCAAACCCTGTCCACGTGTCCACAATTTGTCTGTCAATTAGCCGGTTTTTCACGGAACACTTTTGCTTCTCCAGGACTACGCTCTTGCAAGTATCTTGTTTTACTCGTCCAGACGCTCCGAGGGAAACGTGGAAGGAGGTTACCACATCGGACACACCAAGTTACTTTTCTCTCTCCCTCTCCCTCCTTTCTTCCGAGCTGAACTATACGCGGCGAACTCCTTTCCTCGAGGTCGTTTCGCGTGAGAACTACCGGGATAGGTCGTTGAAATAATCGAGCGATGATTCCCATCGGATAATTAAGAGAGCCTTCTTGGTCGTCTCGCGGTTGAATCGAGCCCCGTTGGATTTAATGGAATCCGCTCAATTAACACCGTAACGATCGGCGAGAAGAATGCGCGAGGTTCGAGTAAGCCCAGGCGGATGTTCTCTCGCGGAAGCATTCGTGTCACTTCTACAGTCTTTTCACGAAGCTGTTAAACGGCCATTAGCGAGCTCGAACACGAGCAAGATCCATTGACTGCGAGCCCTCAGATTTCTAAAGGTTCATCGACGTCGAAGAGCGACAATCGTTCAACGAGAGTCTAATGCCTTCGATCGAGAGAGGTGTGTACGCTTGCGGGAGCGGTCTAGGTCGGCCAACTTGGGTTTATCTTTAATCTCGTTTGGAAAACGTTACAACGTTCGTTCGTTTCCTAACGAAGAGCGTTTCTAACGGCGAGAGAGGAAATTGAACGGAAACTAGGAAATAAATATTTGAAAGGTTCGTTCCATTCCAGTTATTGTTAGCACGCGCTGTTAGTCGATTTACTTTTAACTAGCTAGCTGGGATCCGTTGTTCGCGAACTAATAGGTTACGTGCAAATGAAATTTACTTGGAACACAAGCCGCCGTCCCATGAAATTTGGTTGTACTACGCGGAAAACCGTGTGCATATTTCGGAAGTTTCGAATAGCCAATTACTTGTACTTTCGTTCATCAAGAGTACACGATTCTCCAAGTTTGCCACCGTAAAGCCATTCTCGAAGAGACTTTTAAACGTTAAACTTCTTCCCCTTGTAATTTCGTAGCCCGTTCTCGCGTATACGTGTACGCCGATACCCCTCTTCCAGCGAACGATTCTTCGAGAAAGTTGCTTTGTTAATATTGTTACCCGGATCGTTGAAAAGTTTGCGGTGGGAAAAAGCTGGACTTTGATTCGCGAGTTGCGTCGATGGACACATGCTACGTAACGATATCGCATTAAAAGATCACGACACGATTTCCTTTGGAGGAGATTCCAGCGAACGATTCTTCGAGAAAGTTGCTTTGTTAATATTGTTACCCGGATCGTTGAAAAGTTTGCGGTGGGAAAAAGCTGGACTTTGATTCGCGAGTTGCGTCGATGGACACATGCTACGTAACGATATCGCATTAAAAGATCACGGCACGGTTTCCTTTGGAGGAGGAGGTAACAAGAGGTTGTACTCGGACGTGCATACACGGGTACGCTGCTCTGTAGGTGGCGTGAGAATTGAAAGGTATTATTTTTTATCGACCAGCGACCGACGAATCTCCGGCCACTTTGATCGGCAACACCCTCGCTGCGCAATCGACGCGGACGAAAAATAGAAATTCTGGCGCTGATGAATGGCGGACATTCGTCAATCTAGGGAAAAAAGGGCAACTGCTTTTCGCCAGGAATGGTACGCGAGAGGAACACTTTGGTAGGCGGTATAATTGAATTTTCCTCGGTGTTGGGGGAAAAAAGGAAGCGTTTCGTTCCACGTTCGTTGGAATGTATTGTACATATGTACGTACGTATGTATCGGAGTGATCCGGCGCGAGCGTCGTATCGGAGGAGGGATAAAAGGGAATACATACAGGTCAGTGGAGTGGTTGCATATCGTGAATCATGCTCGTTTACCCTGTCGATGTTGTTAAACATATCTGGGGTCGGACGCGACGCGTTATCGCAAATGGAATTTGTAATATACGGCAGGAGGGGGATTTATCGTTGGCCAAGCGGCGTACCACGAGGAAATTGTAGCGAGAAGAGGGAAGAAGGAAAGCTTACCCACGGTCGCGGTACGTGTAATCCTTGGTGTTCCGGCGTCGACTATTCACGGTCTCTACTGGAAAAAAATCCCCACGACTCTTTTCACACTTTTCACAACATCGTCTTGGTAGAATCCCCTCGAGATGTACGGTAGGTAGGTAGGTATGTTCAAGTCTTGGCTGAACTACGCGGCGAACGCGTGCTACTACGTGCTATCATTGGAAGGGCACTTTTGCTCCCGAACACTGTTCTCGAGTTTCTGCCGTACTCCCGCGCACTACTTCCATCGATCCTTTTGTCTTTTGACAGCTTCACCAATGGAGACAGAGCGCAAACATCGCGTATCCAATCGGAGGTGGTGAACTGCGACGTAAACAAAAGGAACGGTAATCCTCAATGGGAAAACAGAGACGTGTGTAGGTGCAAGGGGAGAAATCCCGGTTCACCGACACGTTTCCACGCAGACGGTGCGTTATATATCGTAGGAGTCGCTGTGAACCGCGAAACATCGAGAGAACCGATCGAAGGAGGCGTCGAAACCTCCCCCGCGACGAACGAAGCGCGCGCGTCGAACTCCGCGATGGCACTGGATGCTGCCGATGAACTTTCGCGCACGGATACCATTCTTGCTCCAACCTGCGCCCCAAACTCGCCCCACTCTGCCTCTCTTCGCCTGGCAAATCTCTCTCCAGACCTCCAGCCCACACACACCCCACTTTTCCAACACCCGTGCTTCGTGCAAGCTCGATAATCTTCGTGCAAGCTCGCCTGCCCCGTTCCACGGATAAAGAGAGCCGAGAGAGAGGGTGGTTTAGGAAAACGTGCTTTTCCATTCGCGTTTCCGGCAAACAACGTCGAAAAAGCGCGCGCCTGGGAACTCAAGATTAACGAGACCTCGACTCGATACCCCCTCTCGCCCGTTCGTGGTAATTAATACCGGTGTCGATTAATCTAGGAAACAGGGTTAACCGTAGGTATGTGGAGAGTACGCGCGTCGAGAGGGATCAAACAGCATCGCGTTCTCTCAAAGTGGATCAAAGAAGACGGATGGAATGGAAATCCATCGATCTCGTTGGTTCCAACTAGCTTGTTACGCTAGTTACACTCGACACTTTGGAATTTTCACGTATGCGCAACGTTAAATCGTACTCTGCGGAAACTGCCCGTCACTGTCCTTCGGTCCACCGTAATTCCGTTCCAATAATATTACATGTAATTGAATTCCGCCGATTCGCGGTGAATTTGAAGTTTACAAATCGAGTTGCGGCGAGTAATGAATTGCACGTAGAAAGCATAATGGTCGGTAGATGGGTACGTTAATACGGACAGGCATTTAATTGGTCGGTAAAACGAGCCAACCCTTTATTGCAAACATTTTTCGTCGGCCGTATTAGCGGCGTAATTGCAGGGCGCGCGGAGCAACGTTAATCTGTAATCCGCGAAATGCGGGGGAAAAGCCAGTAATAAGGTTTGAAAACGTTGTCGGTGAAATAGCCGCGCACGCACCCACGCATCAGACGTTTATTTCAAATGTCGACCGTGTTTCCTTTCATTCTACTTTCATTCTAATATTGTTGCGCTCGGCGAAACGTCGTCGTTAACGCGAGTTTCTTCCGCGGAGAAATTTTTACCGCGTGGCGTTCACGGGGACGTAGCCCATTAAAACTATCCGTTAATATTCCTGGCGGAGAATAGAGCCCCCCTCGGGTTAAACTTGGGGCAAGTATAGCGGTGAGTTTGTAATTTAGCGTATCCGAAACTCGGGCCACGAGCACGAAATGAACTTGATCCACAACACGGTTCACGGAGTTTCGACGTCTGTGCCGAATGAATAGAGAAAGTTGATTCGCGACGGGGAGAACGCGTTGTACGTAGTATATAGAAATGGACGGGGCCACCCTGCCAAATGTTTACGATCTCGCGAGGAAATTCATCTCTCTCTCTCTCTCTCTCGATCGGCAATCACGGCAATCGAGTTGCCTCGGTAGCTTCGACCGAGCTATCCTTGTTTGTCGCTGGTCTAATTATCGCGAAATTCGGCTCTTGGCTGGTGACGAGAGGTTCGTTAA